GCTCCCCCGGAAAATAATTGAAAGACTGTTCTAGCATGTGGCCTCAAAAACAAGTATTTTGCTTCTATATAAACTTAGGAACTTTTATCACAGAAAGGTACTTGTGAAAAATCTTGTCGTTTTAAGTCTTATTATTTAACAAGTAGGAAACTCACATCTGTATATCAGTACTGATTACTTTCTATCAAAAAAATAATAATATTCATTTAGGTAGTACTGAATTTCCAAAATTAAAGAAGCAAAGTGTGAGAGGCGACTAAGGGTGCCAGAGAGGACTATTAAAAAAGTTAGCCATGAATGCAGACAGCCTTGTGGGAGGAAATGGTATTTGCAAATCTGGGGGTAGTTCACTGTTCCAAGTATCCAGTTGCCTTCTGATCGTATATATTCCCCGAATTGGAGTTGAAAATACAAACTGACAAAAAGTGCACACTGAACATGAGAAATACAAATTAGCTTTGTATTTCCTTCCTTTCCAATTCTCCAGATAAAAACATTGATCTTTCTACTGCTCCCTTTTTCCTTTTCAGCTGGAAGCGAAAATTTCTTCTAAGCTGTGTTTCATTTATTTATTTCTTGCAGCTTTACCTATCAGGCTGTGTGTTATGTGCAAAAGACCAGGGTTAAACTTCACATCTCTCTCTGTCTCCGTGTAAAGGAAACAGTAGGAATATCCAGTAGCAAGCTCTAGGGAGAAAAGGAATGTATTAAAATCTTTTACCAAAGGAGATCTGGTTAAAAGATCTATCTTTGGATCGTCTTGGAAAAATTACTATATAAAGGGGGGGGGGGGTTCTTCACAGCCCTGTTTCAGAAAACCACCATTGGTTCTCCAAATGTATCCTCAGAACTGCAATATGCTTTGAGTTAAGAGGAGACCTAACTCAATGGAGCAATGGATCCAAAATACAAGAAAGAAGATTCCACCTAAACATTAGGAAGAACTTCCTGACAGTAAGAGCTGTTCGACAGTGGAATTTGCTGCCAAGGAGTGTGGTGGAGTCTCCTTCTTTGGAGGTCTTTAAGCAGAGGCTTGACAACCATATGTCAGGAGTGCTCTGATGGTGTTTCCTGCTTGGCAGGGGGTTGGACTCGATGGCCCTTGTGGTCTCTTCCAACTCTATGATTCTATGACCCCTCACAGAGCTACACTGCTCAGCACCCTTAACAAACCGCAGTTCCCAGGATTCCTTAATTGTTTAAAGTGGTATAAAAGTCCTTTAAACGTGTGCTTTGGATACTGTGTGTTTGAAAGGGAACATCTAGGTGAATCTAACCAAAACGCATTTGCAAACATCTGCATAGTTCGGCTATTCTAGTCAGGCATTTAGCTTTGACCACATAGTGTTCACCATATATATTGTATAAGGCTTGAAGAATAAATGCTGCAAGACAGGAAGTCTCCCGTTCAGCTGTTGCTTTTATTATTGTTTGGGACTTTTTTTGTTCACCCCCACCCCACCCCACCCCACCCCAGCAAAACAATAAATCATAATCATGAAAATACTTTTTCATTGGCTATGTAGTGTTTCCTGCCTTCTGGCTGTCGTTATTGATTGGTTGGTTGAATTGTTGGCATCGCTTTGGGGGAGTTAGTCCTCCATTGCCTCTTCTTCCTCCCCCCTGCAATTTTAATTAAGAGCCTTTTATCACCAGGATTATATTAATCTGCCTTTGACAAACAATGGGGAGTTCTGTGGACAAAACCTGTGAATCTCTCTCCCTTTTTTAAGATATTTATTAAAGTTTTCAAAATGTTACAAAAAGAAAAAGAGAAAACACGAAATAAAAACAGTTTAAAACAATTCAATCTTTCCGTATCTTATCTTTCATTTGCTTGTTTCCCAGACCTCCTCACACCTCCCTTTTTTGTATTCCAGTTCAATTTATTGGTTCAGCAAATCCTTTCCCTCTTTGTTTTTATCCTGATCTTTAATCTTAATATATTATAGTTTTAGATTATCACCTGTTAACAATCCATTTTTACATATTCCTTTATGACATTACTGCTAAAAACCACTTAACTTCAATCCAACATCATTCTAGCATTCATTAATTTTGCAATATTTCTGTAAATAGTCTTTAAATTTCTTCCAATCTTCTTCCACCGACTCTTCTCCCCGGTCTCGGATTCTGCTGGTCAAAACCTGTGAATCTCTAATCTCCACATTCGAAACAGGAGTTCAAGACCCCTGATGCAGAAGTTGTCATCCGTGCCTCTGCTTTTCCTGCCAGCTCTGGCTTCTCATGTTAATGGCATTTTGTGTCTGCTGAAATTTAGTTTTGTGTGTGGGCTCCCCACCCCCATTGTACCAAACTTGAGAAAGCAATTTATGCGATTGGACATTCCCTTTAGTGAGATCTGGAATCTTTCAAATATCCCTTCTTTCCATAGACCTCAGACACAGGTTAGCTTCCCCTCCCCTTCCTCATATTGTTCCATGACTTGTTTTCAGCTTTCACGAAGTAATCTGATGATCAAATTTCAGGGTGGATTAAGTTTCCCATCTATTTTCTCCATTAAAAATTACATTCATTCAAATCAACAGCTTTAGACAGTATGTAAACGGATGTGGCTATATTTATGTCCAATGTACTGTTCTGGTGTACTTTATGCGTTATAATAAAAAGGAGGAAGATTTGTGGTAATTTAATCTGCTTCTCTTCCACACTGTATTGCATCTTTCAAACTTGAAAGTTTTTATTAGGCTCATAGTCTCTGAGATTCCCCCCCCAAAAAAAACTATATTTCACAATCAAATTTAAGCAATTCCAATTGTACAATAGTAATTTATTTATAGACGCTAAATAAGAGTAGATGCTGGAGCAATTTCTAACTTCACGTTTTGCTCCTCTACCCGCCTTCAAGAATAAGTTTGAAAGACTTACTGGCTGTGTTAACACGTTAATGGCAAGCAGACTTTCTTACTTACTGTGATTGAGCATGAATGGTGTTCAATTGCTTCCTCTGCTTCTCTCCTTGGGTAAGCAGGATAAACAAACCAGAAATTCTTATGAATGAACCAAGGGTTGTTTGCTACCGCCTTACAAGCCGCACAGTCAAAAAGCCAACAAAATATCTTGGCTTGATTTGAATGCAATAGGCAGGCAAAGCTTGCTGGCTTGGTTATCCCACTCATACCAGGGAAAGAGTGATTGGACGGCATGCAATTGTGTGCTGCCCATTCACACTGTGATAAGCCAAAAAGTCAGGTCTATTGTTATGTGTGAAAGCGGCCAGTGAGTTAGGGGGTAGTATTCATTAGGTAGAAATTGAGCAAAGACTCTGCAGCTATGTCCTTTTAGGTCGTGCATAACAACAAAAGTTCTCTTCATGTTGCCCTAGCCGTAAGTTCATTTTTACTTATAGCTGTGACCAACCATTGTTGGTTGAGACACACCTGGTGCTCTCAGGGGCTTGTGTTCGCATGCTTGAGCTCTCATAACCTGATGAATGTCAGCCAAATGTGTGAACAGTATCCATTGGGGTGTGGGGGGGAATGTTTTGAGTTGACATGACGTGCAAGTTCTATCTGTGGTGCTTAATAAACACAGTCGTACCTTGGATCCCGAATGCCTTGGTATGCGGATGTTTTTGCTCCCGAACATTGCAAACCCGGAAGTGAGTGTTCCGGTTTGCGAACGTTCTTTGGAACCCGAACGTCTTCCGCGGCTTCCAATTGGCTGCAGGAGGTTTCCGAACGTTTTGGAATGGACTTTCGATTTCCAAGGTACGACTGTACGCGAATCTCATTCCCCAATGCAAGTCCTTTCTCAGTGCTGCAAGTCAGTGACAACTTGTACACATGTTGAACCAGGCAGCCCGGGAGGAAAAACTTGCAGCACAAAATGCTTGCCTGTCTCACTTTGGTTTCATTGAAATTGAGCAAGATACAAAGCTTTTATTCATTTAAAGGATTGGTTTTATTGTGATTGTTTTATTTGGAAGATTTATAAAGCCCCTGATCAAAAAAGGTCTCCAGACAGCCTAGAAATGAAGTTGTAGATCAAACACAGCTAAAACCCACAAGCCAGTTTTTAAGAAGTGAAACCATCCAAATTAAAACTCAAATGAAATCAATAGAATTTTAAAAACAAATATAAGTGACTAAATTATATGTCTGGGCAACTGACAGAGCCATATGATAAAAATAAAACCATTGATGAGAAAGGGAAGCAGAGGAGGGTGTCATCCACCTGTTTATGGGACGCAGGTGGCGCTGTGGTCTAAACCACTGAGCCTCTTGGGCTTGCTGATCAGAAGGCCGGCAGTTCGAATCCCCGTGATGGGGTGAGCTCCCGTTTCTCTGTCCCAGCTCCTGCCAACCTAGCAGTTTGAAAGCACACCAGTGCAAGTAGATAAATAGGTACCGCTGCTACGGGAAGGTAAATGGTGTTTCCATGCACTCTGTTTATGTCACGGTGTCCAGTTGCTCCAGAAGTGGTTTAGTCATGCTGGCCACAGGGCCCGGAAAGCTGTCTGTAGACAAACACCGGCTCCCTCGGCCTGAAAGCGAGATGAGAGCCGCAACCCCATAGTCGTCTTTGACTGGACTTAACAGTCAATGGGTCCTTTGCCTTTACCTTTTGCCTTATGGTGCCCTACTCCCCAACCCTTAGGTGACTTTGCTCAGATCTCTCCCGCTCTGCAGTGTAGCAAGGCTCAACAGGGATGTAAGACAAGGTGAGGTCCTGGACACAATGGTTCAGAGCAGGCGAGGTTCAGGCATTTGGCAGTGAAGTGTGCTTGGAGAGAGCGGGTGACAGTGGCACATTCTCAGGCCAGGGGGCTGGCTGGCCCTGGCCCCACAGATTCTTCCAGTAGTAGCGCTTTTGGGGACTGTCCCTGAACACCCTCCCCCTTCAGGCACAGAGCCCCCATCTCCATCACCTGATGAAGAGGAATCCAGCTCCTGGTTATTCCAGGTAGGATCTCTTAGATCCATTGTGCTTATTCAACAGGTTGGTGTTACCCATCTCTTCAATTTGCCCCCCAACAGATTCTTCCTACTCAGAACCCCCTGATGTCCAACAGCAATTGAACCACTACCAGTCGGCAGCTCTGGCAAGGAACAATAACAACATTAGCCCTGTCCCGCTTTCCGGAGCAGACCAGAAAACTGAAGCCATCCTTAACTGTGAATTTTGTGAATTCTCCTCGGGTTATATCCAGAGCATTCGCCGTCATTACCGTGACAAACATGGAGGGAAGAAGCTCTTCAAGTGTAAAGATTGCTCCTTTTACACAGGCTTTAAGTAAGTATTTGTACAAAAGAGTTTTCTTACAACTTCGGTGGACTTTTGTGGTGAAATGCATAGGCCTCGTTCAACTTGTCACTCTGAGCCAAACCATGGCGTAGTGTGAGCACATGAATGTGCATGTTCCCAGGTAGCTGCTTTGTTCCTCCTCAGTTGTTCTGCAGGTGTGTTGCGCTGCGCTAAGCCATGGTTTGGCTTAGCATGTCATCCAAGCCCAGGTTCATGGTTTAGCTCTCCCAGACAAACCATGAACTCTGAATCATAGGGCAAATCTTGCTGGTGTAAGGTTAGACATGCATACAGCTGTAGGTGTACCGCGCACTGCAAAATCCTGCAAATGTTAGTTATGTTAAAAAGTAGTAAGCCCTTTGTCCCCAACATGATGGGAAATTAAAATGGGAGCAGTGTAAGACCTAACTCCAGCACAGATTTGGCCATATTTTGGCCCATTCTGTTTAGCTGGTAAGTATGCCTAAATCTGTAGGGACGTGAGTGGCGCTATGGGTTAAACCACAGAGCCTAGGGCTTGCCGATCAGAAGGTCGGCGGTTCAAATCCCTACGACGGGGTGAGCTCCCGTTGCTCTGTCCCAGCTCCTGCCAACCTAGCAGTTCGAAAGCACGTCAAACTGCAAGTAGATAAATAGGTACCGTTCCGGCGGGAAGGTAAACGGCGTTTCCGTGCGCTGCTCTGGTTCACCAGAAGCGGCTTAGTCCTGCTGGCCACATGATCCGGAAGCTGTACACTGGCTCCCTCGGCCAATAAAGCAAGATGAGCGCCGCAACCCCAGAGTCGGCCACGACTGGACTTAATGGTCAGGGGTCCCTTTACCTTTACCTTTATGCCTAAATCTGCATTGGAGTTACTGTAGGTATATATGTTTTGCATGTCTGCTCAGCAGTTAGTCTCACTGAGTTTGGTGGGGCTTATTCCCAGGTAAGGGAGTATGGGATTGCAGCCTCAGTTTGGGGAATGGGCTGGGCCAAGTTGTTTCTTGCCTCTTGTTGCTTCACATCTGTTTCCAGTCTTACTCTCCCAGAGGCCACATTTCCTTCCATCAAAAATGTGCAGTTTCTCTTGAAACACAGATTTTGGAATTAGAGTGCATTGCTGTTGTTTTTATTAATTGTTTTTCTGTCCTGCCCTTTCTGCTGGAGGAGCCCAGGGCAGCGAACATTAACCATAAAACAAAATCCACGATAATCATGAACAAATTCATTAAAATTAAAATTAAATAAACCTCTCGAATAAAAAATAATTGTCTTGAGTGGTGTACATAAATAAGTTCTGAAAATTTATTAATTTGAATAATTAAAACAATAGGCTATATGTAGGCTTAGTATTATTATCACATGAGGAAGCATAAAAGTTGTGTTTCATATATGAACAGAGGTGTAGGAAATAGGAAACACAAAGCATTTGTTATTCCTTCTTTCCCCCCCTTTTTCAAATGTCTAAAGCCCCTGTGTCAGTTGAGGTTTTGCCATTCACTGGACATTTCTGGTCTGCTTGCCAGTAAACACTCGATGTTTTTTAAATGGCCATTATTTCACTGGAGATTAGTCCAATCTGTAGTATTACAGTACCACAAGCAACATTGTGATTTATTAAAGTCCTAATGCATTGCAGGTTGCAAACTTTAAACAGTATAATTTGCAATGCTGTGTTCTGTCTGGAATTACTTCTGAGACCGGTCATAAAAGTTCGTGAGAAAATACGAAAATTCAGGGGTGCAAGAAGTATGGATGTTTATTCATATGTACCAAAACCTGTTTGTGTCTATTCTTAAAAACAGGTGCATGGGCTATTTGTTCCATATTACATTTTGATGCACTCTAAAAACATAAGTTGGTGACTCCAGAGAATGCACCTGCCTCGTTTAGAAATAACCTGGGAAGTAGCCTTCACTGCCATCTGTATTTTCTGCTTTGAGTGAAGGTGCAAGGCAGACTCTCCTGACACGAATCTTCCCACTGCCTCTTTCCCCTTATTTCCTTTAGTTAGAGGTTGACATTTGCCCCGAAGCTAGAGGAATTTAGAAACCAGCCTATGGGAAGCAATAGTGAATTCCTATTGACTGTGTAGTGTTCTACAGTCAGCAAAACCTTCATTCTCCTAACTGTGAATCACTGAAGTTGATTTTACTCAAAAGTTTTCACAAAAACTACATGGAAGGCTTCTCACAAAACTGGAAATGGGGTTTGCCATGTGCAATGTTTTGCTTCTTGTAACTAGGAGAAGCAGGGCATTAGTACAGCGGAACCTCGGGTTACATCAGGGATCCATTCCAGAGGCCGCAACCCAAAAACAACCCGACCCAAAGTGCCGCATCTGTGCATGGCGCGATTTAGCGCTTCTGCGCATGTGCAGACACGGTTTAGTGCTTCTGTGCAAACCCAGAAGTAACCTGTTCCAGTACTTCCGGGTTTGCACCGGTCGCAAGCCGAGGGTGACATAAGCCAAAGGCAACGTTACCCAAGGCTCCACTGTATAGGTTTGTCCTTCAGAATTTAAGAATGCGATTGTGCAACGATTTTGCATGTTGGTACCATATTTTTTGGGGACGCGGGTGGCGCTGTGGGTTAAGCCACAGAGCCTAGGATCAGAAGGTTGGCAGTTCAAATCCCCGCAACGGGGTGAGCTCCTGTCGTTTTGTCCCTGCTCCTGCCAACCTAGCAGTTTGAAAGCACGTCAAAGTGCAAGTAGATAAATAGGTACCGCTCCGGCGGGAAGGTAAACGGCGTTTCCGTGTGCTGCTCTGGTTCGCCAGAAGCGGCTTAGTCATGCTGGCCACATGACCCAGAAGCTGTACACTGGCTTCCTTGGCCAATAAAGCGAGATGAGCGCCGCAACCCCAGAGTCAGCCATGACTGGACCTAATGGTCAGGGGTCCCTTTACCATATTTTGGGGGAAGCTCTGCAATGAAGCCCTAGCATTGGAACCAGAGTTCTCGACATCTGAAGCTGCAGTCCCTGTGGAATGATGAGCAGTTCATAGAGGAGACCCCCAGTTTAAATGTGTAACTGAATCAGGCCATGATTCAGAGTATGGCTCTACTTCCACTTCTGTCCCAAGTACTGGGGTGTGGATATACCATCCCTAGTTGTATCAGTGGATTGGTACTGTGAGCTTTTTGAGTAGTTTCCTGCTTCGGGAGTTATTTCTTTGGCTTCCTAGAATGCTTCTCATGGGCCATGCATCTCCACCTTGTTTCCTTTCCAGCGCTTCTCTGGGTTTCACGTCTGGGACCAAAGTAAACCTGATCAGCCTGTTGGCTCCTTTTTATTATTATTGTAGCTACAGTTTGGCTTTGGTGCAGACGTAACCTTGGTTGACCTCTTAAGCATGGCTTCAAAGGAATCCTTAATCAAAGTTAACATGGGTGCTGATGCAACGGTTGACCATAATTACATGGGACTCACGTGAGGAAAAGAGGGAGAGGGAACTTGTGATCCAGTGGCCCACAACCATTCTTCGAACCGCATTTAAGAGGTCAACCAATGTCAAATCAGCACCAGCCTTGGGAATGCACAAACCTATTCTTTCTTAGCTTTTGGAAGCACGCCACGCCAGGTTTTGATAACTATTGCTTTTATGAAATAATACAGAATGGTATCTCTAGCTTTTGTGGGTGAAAAAAACAACCCCAATATTACCCAATGGTTGTGGTTCCACAGCACTCTGTTTTGAGCCTTTCCACTACTCCCTGTGTTTCTAGATCTGCTTTTACTATGCACGTGGAAGCTGGGCATTCAGCAGTTCCTGAGGAAGGACCCAAAGATCTCCGCTGTCCTCTCTGTCTTTACCACACCAAATATAAACGGAACATGATTGACCATATCGTCCTTCATAGAGGTAAAGGCACCCCAAAGGAATGTACCAGTGGCCAACATGGGACTGTACTAATGGCTCCTATTGCTCATTGGAAAGCCCAGTACCCCGGAAAGAGGATGGTGATATTCATCATCAGTTGTTTTGTCTTCAGCATCCTGGTAGTTAAAAGGAAACAAAACAAAATGAACAGGGAAGATGCAAGGGGTTGTTTCGCTGCTCTTAGAACTTTCTTGTTTACTACATGTGCGCTTCTGATTAAATGTTCATGATAACATGTGTGCATCCGTAATATATACATCAATTCCACCTCTGGAATTGCCAGTGTGGTGTAGTGTGGTATAGTGGTTAAGAGCGGTAGACTCGTAATCTGGGGAACCGGGTTGGTGTCTCCGCTCCTCCACATGCAACTGCTGGGTGACCTTGGGCCAGTCACACTTCTTGGCAGTCTCTCAGCCCCACTCACCTCACAGAGTGTTTGTTGTGGGGGAGGAAGGGAAAGGAGAATGTTAGCCGCTTTGAGACTCTTTCAGGTAGTGATAAAGCGGGATATCAAATCCAAACTCCTCTTCTTCTGTGCCAGGCATCAAGCTTCACCTGGTGTTCCACAGAACTGCAAAAAACCCAAAACTTAGCCTGCTGTGGTTTTTCTCTCTCCTCCCCCTGCTTTTGCTTTTAAGAAATCTAAAGAGGAATTTCAGATTCTCTTGGCTGCTGAATTATAAGCTCAGAAGAGACAGCTGTTTGGACTCTTCAGGCTGGGATTCCTGCCCATAGTTATCACACTTGATGCTTAGAGATGGTCTGTTGGCTATCGAAAACCATGCCCATGTGTTGGGGTGGCATTCTGCCTGATCACAGGCTGAGCAGCATCTCCCAGCAGGATATTGGTGGTGAGATAATGAGAGCTGTGTGTGCCATCTCTCCGGGAGGAAATCTTTTGTTTAGGGTCCTCTTCATGCTGGCGCGCACATGGCGACTCCTTTGCAAGTCGCTGCTTCTCTTTTGCTTCTGAGCAGGGTAGGCAAGAAGACTCGAACTCGGTTATTTTCTGGCTGGGCAGTAAAGGCAGGCCAACGACTTTCACAGATGGCCCTCCAACGAAAAAAACAAAAACAGAAAACCCCACAGCAAAAATCTCCCCGGGATTCGAGATGCGTGTAACAGAGACACCTCAGTGAATGCTAACAATGGCTTCTAGTGTTGAGCTTAACCTCTGAGGGAGTTACAGCGCCAGACTGCCAGAGCCTGTTGACCTCTAGGGCATGTTGGAACGGTTATCTGTTTTACAAGACTTTTTGAGGTGTTTTTTTCGGTGGGGTGGGGAGAGGCATGTCCAGAGAGGCTTCTAAAGCTAGTGTTTAATTTTGTTTCATACTTTCTGGACTGCCTAAGTGGTTCAGCTGAGCTCCTGGTTCTTTCAGAGTTCTTCGTTCTGTTTTTTTGAGGTGTTTCAGCTGTTTCTGGAATGTGCTGCTTTTTATTTATTTATTTTTTGAGCCCAAAAAACATGGATGAAAACTAAAGCTGTTAAATGAAATTAGCACCTTTGCTGCCTTTTTTGTTTTGTTAAAAGTGAACTAGCAGTGCATATTCTGCTAAGTCGTTTTTCATAGCCTTCGTGAAAGAAGTGGCAAGGTCACATTTTAACCCGCTGAACCTCTGTGCTGATTTCTCCTCCCCGAGGTGACCCTCTCATTAAGCAGCCACTTGCCTCTCTGGGAGAAGCGCACAGGCCTGCCCGTTTTGGAGGAACGGTATATGCGTTGCATGATCCCTTCAGCAGAAGCTGAAAGCAGGTGTTGAGAGTCTTTTATCTGACTTCACGTCCATTCAAAAGAGAAGGAAAAAAAAAGCTTTCCCAGGTGGCAAAAATCACAATTTTGTGCTTTTTTAAAATAATAATAATAATAAAGTGAACCAAAGCTATCATTCCAACAAAGAAATCCAAATTAGTTGGAAGCCTGTGAGTCCCAGAGGAAAACCTCCCTGCCCCCTCAGATAACCAGCTTAGCCCTATTAAAAATAAGTCAGCCTTTTAACGTGGTCATGAGAGTCTAGCTTATTTATTTATTCTCTCTTGCTCCTTAATCGCCTTTCGTCAAGTATCCAAAGGGCTGTTCAAGGAATCAACTGTGTGATGCCATGAATGATTCCATTTGTGCTATGGACTGTAATGTTTCATTAGCATTACACGGTCTTTATGCCAGGGTCATAGCCATATATCCCCATATTAACGTTTAGGGGTTAGTATACTATGACCTTTTGTGTCATACAGTCTTTCTCCTGAAGAACTTCCTCCTGTTGTTTGCTTTCTCTCTTTTCATGAGATCAGGCTGATACTATTAACAGCAAAAACAAAAAGAGGTAGCGTCCAATGTTTATTTCATGTCTGTTTCATCATTTTCTGGGATATTGTTGCACATATATTGAACCATAAATTGATTCCAAACCATTTAGCTGTCAGGTTCCCTTTTAAAATAATGCTGGAACTTCTCTCTGCCATTTCTTCCCTCACACGACACCATTCCATAGCAAGCTAGGGTTAGGAAGATGACATGGTAATTTAACCGGTTTTAAGTCTGGGAAATACAGTAGAACCTCTACTTACGACCGCCTCTACTTGGGCCCGATCCAAGTCGCGACCGCGGCAAACACGGAAGTAAATACCGGGTTTGACGCGATTCACACACACGCAGAAGCGGCTTCTGCCGTTTGCGCATGCACAGAGGCGGCTGCCGCCATCTGCACATGCGCACAACGGCGTTTCTGCCAGCGACCCATTTCGCCTAAAGGACGGGCCGCTGGAACAGATTATGGTGGTTAAGTAGAGGTCCCACAGTAGGTATGTCCCTTGTGCCTTCACCCAGACACCCTATAGTCTCAAAAGGAAATGAGAAACTTTCATTTAAATAGACTGCAGTGGAGTTTGTTCTACTCAAAAGTAGAATGCACACCAGGTTTCATTAAACCACAGATAAGGCCTAATAAGGGACGCAGGTGGCGCTGTGGGTTAAACCACAGAGCCTAGGGCTTGCCGATCAGAAGGTTGGCGGTTCGACTCCCCGTGACGGGTTGAGCTCCCGTTGCTCGGTCCCTGCTCCTGCCAACCTAGCAGTTCGAAAGCATGTTAAAGTGCAAGTAGATAAATAGGTACCGCTCCAGTGGGAAGGTAAACGGCATTTACATGTGCTGCTCTGGTTCACCAGAAGCGGCTTAGTCATGCTGGCTACATGACCCGGAAGCTGTACGCCGGCTCCCTTGGCCTATAGAGCGAGATGAGCACCGCAACCCCACATTCGGTCACGACTGGACCTAATGGTCAGGGGTCCCGTTACCTTTAAGGCCTAATAAGCGACTGAGGCAATTTACAGCCAGAGTATTGGGTTGTTTGGTGCAAGGAATAGGGCTTTTTAAAAAAGAAAAAAGGAGGAATGTGTTTTTCCTTAAACTGTTACAGGCTTCAGGATGTTATCAATCTGCCGCGGAGAGTGCTTTGTCGCTTACTTGAACACCATCCTAAGTGCAGTTTTAATTTACCTTATATGGGAACAGAGGGAGCTGGGACTCTCTATGTACTTCGTCAGGCTTTAAGGAGGGATTTTTAAAGACCAGGAACGGGGTGTCGCATGGGCACACTGGCAGCAAGGAATAGCTTTTCTGGCTCACAAATGCACTTGAGTTCCCCAACAGCCTAACCTCCTGAACCCTTTTGGCACTCCTATTCTCTGAGCTGTGGAAATGCAAATCTATGCCCAGCCAGAGCTTTTCCAGATAATGCAATTTGCAGCCGCTATCTTCTATTAAGGCATTCCCATGCTGCCTTTGAAGAGATGCCCTGGCAGTTTTTCCCAGTGCCGAATGCAGTCTTACCATGAACAATATGCCCCAGGCCTTTAATTTTTTCTCTAAGTGCAGTTACTGTTTTACACTACTCAGCAGAAGGAAAATTGTGGCGTTGTGAGAACCAGCTACATTTGCATTCCGGGAAAAATTAAGTCACTGAGCAGAACAACTTTTCAAAGGGGTGGGTTAGTATAATAACTTCCACCGTGATCAGATGTGCATGTAGCTATTGCTTTGCTACTGGATTCCTGTTTATCTAGGTTGATTTCCGCCACCCACACAAGTGAAATTCACAAGGGCAAGACATTCAGAAATTGTAATTTGGAACGGCCGCATATTTAACTATCACTAAAGAATTCTGTTGTTTAAACTGCAGTTGTCCATGAAGGGCAACTTGAACGATATTTTACCCAAATCAAATTCTTACTGAGGTAACTCTGCAATTTGTGTGGAGAAGGAGCAAGTGTATGTGCCGCTCCTTAGCCCTGCATAGAAAACACATCATGCTGTGCGCATGCTGCATGTCGAGGTCCATAACTGTGGTGCCCTGAATCACACAGTTACCGTATTTTTTGCTCTATAAGATTCACTTTTTCCCTCCTAAAAACTAAGGGGAGATGTGTGTGCATCTTACGGAGCGAATGCAGGCTGCGCAGCTATCCCAGAAGCCAGAACAGCAAGAGGGATCGCTGCTTTCGCTGCGCAGTGATCCCTCTTGCTGTTCTGGCTTCTGAGATGCAGAATATTTTTTTTTCTTGTTTTCCTCCTCCAAAAACTAGGTGCGTCTTATGGTCTGGTGCGTCTTATAGAGCGGAAAATACGGTAGTTCTTTGCCCGGGGGGGGGGGGAGTGGGTAAGTCAAGGATTGTGTGTGTTGAGCCAGCATGCATTCTGGCCTTGGCTCAGTTGGTTAGACATCAAGGGTCAGCAGACTTTTTCAACAGGGGGCCGGTCCACTGTCCCTCAGACCTTGTGGGGGGCCAGATTATATTTTGGGGGAAAAATAAATGAACAAATTCCTATGCCCCACAAATAACCCAGAGATGCATTTTAAATAAAAGGAGACATTCTACTCATGTAAAAACACGCTGATTCCTGGACAGTCCACGGGCCGGATTGAGAAGGCGATTGGGTTAGATCCAGCCCCTGGGCCTTAGTTTGCCTACCCATGGCAGCGGTTCGCAACCTGTGGGTCCCCAGATGTTGTTGGACTACAACTCCCATCATCCCTGAGCACTGGCCTTACTAGCTAGGGGTGATGGGAGTTGCAGTTCAACAACATCTGGGGACCCACAGGTTGAGAAAGGCTGGGTTAGAGCATGGTGCTGATAACACCAAGGTTGCAGGTTCTATCGCTGTATGGGACAACTGCGTATTCCTGCATTGCAAGGGGTTGGACTAGATGATCCTCAGGGTCCCTTCCTACTCTACGATCTGCTGCAGATTAATGCGACTGATGATGTGGGCTCTAGACCACAAAATCTTGTTCCAAAATAAAGTTTTTAGACTTCAATGTAGCCAGGGCAGCCCACCAGTTAGGCAAAATGAGACAATTTCCTCAGAGGATGAGGGTGGCAAATTGATGCCCCCCAGGGCGGTCTCGGTTTACCTCATTCTCCATGCCTGTCACTTTTCCTCTACATGGAGGTCCTTCCTCAAAGCAAGGCATTCTGGGAGCGGTGACTTCACATTTTTAAGTAATTTTTTAAAAGAATGCCTAGCTGCCCCAGAAAGGGGGGGGGCGTGCAGTACAGTGGGGTCAAATAGCAACAAAATGAAAAATAAATTTTTTTTGCAGCCTGTGACAATTGAATTCGACTTTAAATTTATTCAAAATAAGCCCATTGATTGTTCACAGCAGCAGAAACTGGTGGTTAAGTAAATTGGTATGTGTAAGCGGGACAGAAAGCCATTCTCTCTATTCATACCCAAATGAATGGAATGAAATTTCATTACTAGTTCATTCAGCCATTTCATGCTAGAGTCGCCCTTTAAAATGCCTGTGTTGGAGAATGTCAGCTTTCAAGTCCAGGGAGCCCGCAATATTCTGCTATAACAACTTTCAAGTCAAGCTACGCTTACCAGTTAATCCTTTTTTTGTCTTATACCACCTTCTCCCCCCCCCCCAAAAAAATTATGGAACCACATCCAACCTCCACAAACTTGCCAAACTTTTTAGTTTAGTTTAGATGGTTTTTTTTTAATGTTTTAAATAGTTTTTTCCTGTTTCTTACTGATTGTTTTAGGTTGTTGTTGTTGTTTACATGTTTTAGAACTGCTTTGAGCTTTTACTATAGTCAAGTGGTATATAAACTTTGTGGAATAAAAAACAAACCAACCAGTTGAGCCTGGCTTTTGGTGATTAAGGTTAAGCTTTGGAGGCAGGCGGGGAGGGGACTGTTGGCGTTATTTTAATGTGATATTCACAGTTCTATCAGCTGTAAGTCTCAGGAACGAGTTAAAGTTAAATAACTTAAGTACACTTGCAGATAAGAACAGTGTCCCTGTTTGACATGGTTCATGATGAAAATGAAATGAGAATAACTATTGATGTAGAGCTCCAAAATGTGTTTTGTTTTTACCTCTATCTACCTTTTATTTTATTGCTATGGCCAGGGGCTGGTGCAAATAAAGATGATTCTGATTCATTTGCAGAAGTAACGTCCATATCGAAAGCGCCAGAGAAACAAATTGAGGGGTTTAAAATTAAATTTTGGGGAAATGGGAGAATGGCGATGAAGGGGCTGTATGTGAGTTGCCTTCAGGGCACCAGAGAAAACTTAGTAATAGAACTTCTACCATTTCTTTTCGCCCCACTAGAAGAGCGAGTGGTTCCCATAGAAGTGTGCCGTTCCAAGCTGTCCAAATATTTGCAGGGAATCGTTTTCCGCTGTGACAAGTGTACCTTCACGTGTTCCAGCGACGAAAGCCTACAGCAGCACATAGAGAAGCACAATGAGCTGAGACCTTACAAATGCCAACTCTGCTACTATGAGACCAAGCACACGGACGAACTGGATGTTCACCTTCGAGATGAGCATAAGGTGAGTTTTTGGGCGCCATCCGCGCCCATGGGTGAACATGCTGTGCAGCAGACACAGCGACAGGTGGTCCAACACCTTCTTAAAGAAATGTTTCCACAACACAATTGTGCTCTTCACTGCTGTAGGAAACAGTGCTAAACGCTAGCTTCTTGATAAGACAAATCTGTCCATTGCAAGTGGAACCTGCAGCAATATACTCTCATTCAGGGTTCCAGCCATTCTATTCTATTCCCCTCCTCCTCCAGTTTTCCATTCCGGTTTGTGGACACACAGCACCTTCAGTAATGCACATGTTGTTGTGGTTCTTCCATTTTCTGCAGTTTGAGATGGACAGCATTACATTTTCACTGCCCTAGCTCAAGCTTATTTTAATAGTGTTCTCTCAGCACGCACCTAACCCAAAGGATTCACAACAATTTGGCTGGAGGGCAAACATAGCTTGCGTGTCTGTGGCAAAGCGTTTCCACTGACAATAAAGCAGTTATTAATGTGAGAATACGTACATGAATTGATGTACCTTATTCATGTGTGGCTCTGCTGTTATGATATAGTATCAAATTAACAGCATGCATACTGCTCATTTAAAAAGTTTGGGGAGTCGCGAGGAGTTGTGCTTTACCTCTTCTTCCACCCTCCACCAATTGACAGGGAGCAGGTGGCGCTATGGTCTAAACCACTGAGCCTCTTGGCCTTGCCGATCGGAAGGATGGCAGTTCGAATCCCCACGATGGGGTGAGCTCCCGTTGCTCTGTCCCAGCTCCTGCCAGCCTACCAGTTCAAAAGCATACCAGCACAAGTAGATAAATAGGTACCGCTCTGGCGGGAAAGGAAACAGCATTTCAATGCGCTCCGGCACTCGTCATGGTGCCCCGTTGTGTCAGAAGCGGTTTAGTTATGCTGGCCACATGACCTGAAAAACTGCGGGGAAACGCCTGCTCCCTCGGCCTGAAAGCGGAGATGAGTACCCGTACCCCATAGTCGCCTTTGACTGGGCTTAACCATCCAGGGGTCCTTTGCTTTTACCTACCTCATCCTCTACCAATTGATCCTTTTCGGATGGCTAGCCATGCTTAAGGATGCCCTCCCCTGCTTCTCTTTCTCCTAACTCCTGCTGCCCTCTGGCCCTTTTTCGAGAGCTAGCATTATCCCACAGGTGTAAAGAATCCAAAACTTGCAAGATTTCACCCTCTTTGACTGCGGGAGCAGTTAGCCACGAACACGATGCTAGGCTACAGTCATATCAGGATGGGAGTCATCAATAGGAGTCACCACCCAGGAATCCTCTTCATCATGTGCAGTATAGATGCATTTTAAAAATCACTTCTGGGAAGATGTAAGCCTGTCATTGAGCCCTTCTTCCCTGCTGATTCTCCCAGGAGAGGGAATGCCAAGGCACATGCCCCATTCTTGCTCTGCCTTATAGAACTCAAATCAGTGTTTTCCTCCTTCTACTTCTTCTCCTTACGTGGCTTTTGTTAGTGCCCCTTCCAGCCCTTGTATGCTTTTGGGTGCTTGTGGGCTTGCCATCATCTCCAAAGACAGAGACCAAAGTGAGCCCTGACAGCAAAAAGCCATCTCTCTTTGGTATGTCTCGAACCATTGCTTTGCTCACGTGGGAATTATTTATTGTCAGAACATTTTGAGAGCCCCTGTTGTGTGAAAGAATGTTGGTATATGGGGAAATCCGAGGCATGCACAGTGCGTAGACCAGGAAATCGTAATAGATGAGATTACGCGACATTGTTTTCTTCCCCCTAAAGGTGAGTCGCAATTTTGAGCTGGTTGGACGGGTTAACTTAGATCAGTTGGAACAAATGAAGGAAAAAGAGGAGAGTTCCAGCAGCGATGAGGAAGAGAAGGAAGAGGAGATGAGCCCCAAGAGTGAAGCGAGAGGTTAGTACAATTGTCTTGTCTCTGATACCAAGCACATTGCTGGGACTGGCTGCCCTCAAAAAGCAACATTTTTTATCTCACCTGCATCCCCCCCCCCATGAACCAAGACACACCAATGCTAAAGGAGAGAGAGGGGGAGAGAGATTGGTCTGGTTCACATATAACACTAAGCATAAGCTTATTGGATCATTACTTTGGGTTATGTGCAAACTGTGCCCAAAGGCTTAACTATGGTTTGTTCACATCTAGCAAACCATGGTCTGAAGGCATGACTTGTGGATGGCCTGTGAACCTTGGTTTGTTGTAATGTTGACTTGACATGCATGCCCTTCTTTAACCATGATTTGTTTGGCCACTACACTCCAGGAGCATCCTAAGTTACAAAGGCAGAAGGCATTTTGGGGGGAAAACAAAGCTTTGGAGAACCAAGTCATAGGTTATTTGATTACCCATGGGACACCTCAGGTTTGCCTTGTTTCTTAAACCATAGGTTAAGCAAGCCATGGCTTTGTGTTTTGTGTGAACCAGGCCATTGTCTAGCCACTGTATTTCCTGGATGCTTTAGAATGGCTACTCCGTGTCTCCCGGAAATATTCAATCATCTGCCAGATAATGGAGAAACAATTGGCGCACAAGCAAAAAGTCCATGATAGCTGTTGAGTGATTTGGGGGTGTTTTTTTGCAGTGTCCATATGAAATGAATAGTCGATCATTCACCTTTATTATAGTTTAGGTTCATAATCTCTTCACCTAATTCAGATTTTCAACTAACATGAAAATATGAAGATGGCTAATGCACAACCAGAAAGTTGTATACAATATATAATTGTATATTTGTACTGCAGTCCCAGCACCAACTATCTAAGCACCAGCACAGCCAGACAGCCATCAGTTTTCTTGCCTCGGTGTTACTGCAAAAATTATTATCTGTTAGTGACAACTGGGCTGGGTATGAGAATCGGGACAAAGGTGGCTGGGCTGTTTAAATGGCAGTTGCGTCCTGTCAAAATGTAGTTCTAGCAGTGAAGCTTCTGTAATATATATATACAGACACAATGTAATGAAAACTGGTGAGTTCTAGTGGTGAATCCATGGGCATTTGCCTCATCCCGCTGGACAAGAGTCAACATGACCTGAGGAATGGGTAGAGGGGATTCCACCAACATTTGAAGTGACTGGCTGGAGAGAGACCCTGTTTGGAAATAAAAGGCTGGTCTCAAACTCCAGAAGTCAGAGGAGATTCCATCAGTCGTGTGTCAAGTAGAGCTTTACTGTGTCAGAGAGTATGTTGAAGAAGAGGGCAGAAGAAGGAAGAGCTGGAAGCTGGAGCCAAGCAGAGGACATTGAGGCTTAATGGTTTGGAAGGCCTATGAGAAGCCCAGAGCTAAAATCACTGGCTGGCGCTAAAAAGTTGTATCGGGAAGAGTGTGTTTGCCACAAGTGGCAGCCTTTGAGAGAGCTGTGCAGCTAAGAGTCAGTTGGGTTGCTGGACCAGGGTGACAGCAGAAGGCCTGTCAGAAGTCTTTGAGGGACCCAAGAGGCATCCAAACTGTTGGTGTTTGGCGTTAATAATACATAGCTTGGAAGTTCAGCTGACCACTGAAACACTGTTGGAGAAGCACGCTTTACACTGGATATAATTACATCGAGACTTGAGTTTGCAAAATAAGAAAGCTAAGTTTATTAAAGGAAATGCATACTTCATACGGAAGATCCTGGTTCTATCTAACAAAGGTGGAGATACAAAGAGTTGTGCTTCCTGTTTGTTCTCGGCAGGAGAGAGGTCTCCTCTCCCAAGGTTAAGGATGCGGAAGTAGGAAATGAAGTCAGCAGTCTTGAGAGTATCAGTCTAACACTGAAGGAAGATCAGTAGTTGGCACAAGAAAGACAGTCTAGGAAAACTCTTGGCTCCTCTCTATCTACCCTTCCCATGCAGATATGTCAGCCTACAGTGCAAGTTGTGTTGTATCCCAACATTTTCAACAAGAAAAGTCTTAAACCACCAGATGAGGGGAAAATGTTGAACTCCAGTCCTCTAAAGGCTGTAACCATGATTATTTGTGTCCACTAACATTTTCAGTTGCCCCTTCACACCTGACCCCCCACTACAACCAAATTCGGGATTAGGGAGAGAGTAGGACAAAGAAAAGCAAATTATGCCGCTTGTCTAATACATGCTTATTAGAGTAAATGTATGCAAATATGCCCACTCGGAATGAATTCATTTTCAGCACCAGATTTTCATTAAAACTGTAGAGAGTTCCCCTCCTTTTCCTTCCTTATGTTGTGGCAAATTTATTCTGTTTGAGGACCAAACTGTGAGATACTTATGTGGATAAAGATCAGCATTCTGCGAAAGATGCTTTTAACATCAAGAGGACAAAAAAAACAAAAACCCCAACTAAAGTAATGTACACTCCTTGATAGATGGTTTTAACAATCAATGCATGAGAAAAAGCTTTTGGGAAGAAAGTGACAATATCTCTTCTTTGCACTGAAACTGCCCAGAGAAATAAGGGCAGGCTCTTGTGTGTATGTGTGAGAGAGAGATTTTCAGTAGCTCAAGTTAGCTCATAAGCTGTGTACATTATAATAAAACGTGGAAATGAAGCAAGCAGAGATCAGCAGTAAATGAAGCAAAATCCCCATTTCTTTCATTATGTACTTTGAGAGGACTCCGGGAAGGCAAAGGCATTGGCATTCTGTTGTTTTCTTGCTCAAGATAATCCCCACTAAAGAATTAATGCTTGGAGCAGATGGCGCCATCTCATTTTCAGTGAAAAGAATCAAGCGAGATAGTCCGAGCAATTATTTTTAATGGCCTGTGTGGCGATCATCTTAATTTTGTGAGAAAACGTTTCATCTTTTGTTTGGTGGCCTGGTCGCTCTTGTTCACACAGGGGGGCTGCATCTCAGCCATGTGGAATGTCTACTGTGCCTTCAAGGTGTCAGGAGTTCTCAATTATATTTGGCGGGGCATGATCCAGCCAGAGCTTAAGCGTTTCTCAGTCGCATTGATCTGAGCACATTATTTGTTCTTTCCGGCGGAAAATCAACAAGACTTGGAGCGTTCAAACGTTGGCTGGATCAGGCCTCCAGTTGTGATTGGCAGGGCATGCCCAGACTAAATAAAACACTTTGTTGGGTCTTACCCTGAACAAGGGGCGTCCTTTGTAGAAGAGGGATGGCTGCAGTCCATGTCTGATTGGAGCCGGTGGCAAAACGTATGTTTGTTTCAGTGAGCCTGGAGTGCATTGTAAATGTCTGGTGAGCAAGGCAGCTAATGCTGCCAAGCTGCTCCTTCCTTTCAGATTGCCTCTTGCCCATATTTTCACAAGACGCCTTTGGTGGGTGGGGAAGAGAAGGTTAAACCCAGTTCTAAGACTACACTTTTTACTAATTCTAACCCCCAAAGAACCTATGGAAAAACCAAAACTTTTGTGAGAGCTGCTTCAGACATTATAAGAGCATGAAGAGATTTTTTTGGGAAATGCCTGTATCTCATGTTCCCTGGATCTCCGTTTGAGGTGAAATGGTTTTTTCTCAGCTCTGCATTAGCTTTCTGGTGGAAGATGATCTGTTCTGTACAAGACAGTGAGGCAAAGGAACAAGGGGTGCATTTCCTGTACTTTTCACATCACTGTTACGTCCAACGCCATTCTCGGAGTGCTGAGAATTCTGTGTTAAGAGATCTTTAGTCTCCTTACATAACCAAAGGGCTTCTTGGGGACAAGGCTGTAACAGTTAAAGCAGTTCAGCTCTGGAACTGACATCTTGCCCTTGCACCTAGAATTGTTTTAAAAGCTGTTAAAGAGAAAAGTAATTTACAATGAAGGTGAAAATAAGAGACGAATACCGTATTTTTTGCTCTATAAGACGCACCAGACCACAAGACGCACCTAGTTTTTGGAGGAGGGAAACAAGAAAAAAATATATTCTGAATCTCAGAAGCCAGAACAGCAAGAGGGATCGCTGTGCAGTGAAAGCAGCAATCCCTCTTGCTGTTCTGGCTTCTGGGATAGCTGCGCAGCCTGCATTCGCTCCATAAGACGCACACACATTTCCCCTTCCTTTTTAGGAGGGAAAAGGTGAGTCTTATAGAGCAAAAAATACGGTAACTAATCAGTTGCATTAGGTGTGGGGAGGGGGAATAAATCTGAAAGTTTTCACATGAAGCAGAATCTTTTAGTCAAATGTTATTATTTCTTAGTTTGGCCACTTCATATATGCCTAAATGAACACTGTTGAGTTTCCATCTTCCTTACTCAATCCAAATTTGCACATGCCTTAGTCTAGGATACTGGCATTCTCATCTCAGATTCCTTTTTTAAGAGGTCTTGTTTACATTCTCTTGGGCTTCAAGAGAAACTTCGTTTTCTGCTTCCTTGAGAGAAATGGGAGGACTCTTACATGAGCCTAACATATGTATTGTTTTCTTCCAGGGTCCATGAGGTTCTCAGAGAATGGACCACCAGAAAAACGTTTCCCCTGTGAATTTTGTGGCCGGACGTTTGCAGAGGGCTCAGAGTGGGAGCGGCACGTGCTGAGGCACGGCATGTAAGTTGGTAGAAGTCTCTCTGCTTTGAACACATTGGTTGGCACATAGGAAGGTGCCGTATACCAGCCTGGATAGCTCAGTCAGTTAGAGCACAGTGCTGGTAATGCCAAGGCTGCGGGTTCAATCCCCCTATGGGACAACTGCATATTCCTGCATTGCAGGGAGTTGGACTAGACAATCCTCAAGGTCCTTTCCAACTCTACAATTCTGTGATTCTAAGCTGGTTTGCTGGTCCATCTACTTCAGTGTTTTCTACACTGACTGACAGAACCTCTCCTGGGTTTTTGACACGGGTCTCTCTCCCAACCTAACTTGGTGGCTGTCGGGAGTTGGAGTCTTAACAACAGAAAGGCTAAAGTTTCCCCATCCTTCCCTTAAAGCGTAACAAATTGGCTGTGGTGTAAACTTCCATGATTTGGAACCCACTTCACCCCATGTCGTCAGCCAAATGGGACCCTGCAACCATCATTGGAGGCCCTGTTTCATGTGCCACCTCTGTGAGAGGTCCGGAGGGCGGCAACACAAAAACAGGGCCTTTTCTGCAGTGGCTTCCTGTCTGTGGAATGCTCTCCCCAGGGAGACTTGCCTGGCATCAGCATTAGAAGGGGGTAGGGTGTTTTTAATATATTTCTCTTTCCTCTTGGTTTTAGTGTCTGTCTGTTTGGTTGCAAGTTGATAAATGTTAACAACAACAACAATATAGAAAAATAGTGTTTAGTCAGGGTGACAAGGCCCTCTGATTCTCCAGGTAGCCTCCTCCTTCTTTTCCTCCTCCTCCTCCTCCTCAGCTTGTTTTAAAACTTAATAACAAACCATCCCCATATAGCCTAATCCCAAAGGAAAATTTCAATGGATATACAATGCCAATGATCCAGTCAAACATTAAGCAGTCTTCTTTGGTTGGCCAATTAAATAATCTATGGTCTTTTAAACTGGGTGGGGGGTATTGTTTTTGTTACTGTGTTATGGGTTTTTATGTTGTAAACCGCCTTGTGATCCACAGATAAAGGGCAGTATAGGAGTTAAATAAATAAATAGCCAATCAGAACAGTAATTTGCTGCAGTTTTGCATAAAAATGGTTCATTCTGGAACAATGCCCACAACCAATAAACTGCAAGTATTTCTCTCTCTTTTATAATGATTTTTATGAATTTTTCCAATTTACTACATAACTCCAATCGTTTATTATTTTGGTTACACATTTTCTTCTTGACTTCCCAACCCTTCTTCCCTGGTTCCCCCCCTTTTAATTCCCCCGATAGCAGCTACATTAAAACACATTTATATTTATTGTCTAAGCTTCCAAAGTCCTTTCTCTTCATTCTTCCATCGCTCACATCTCAAATCCTGTGTGTGATTTCATATAAGAATGATAGTTCAATAGGTGATGCACCAATGGCCTCCATTCTTCTAGGAAGATATTATCATTTTGTCCTCTTATTTTAGCAGTCCGTTTCGCCATTTCTGCATAGTCCCATCAGTTTTTGTAAGCCATCCTTCCTTAGTTGGAGTCTCCTTTGTCTTTCCGTTTCTGTGCGTATAAAGTTCAAGCTTGCGAGCATTTCAAAATATCACCGCCCTTCCGTTTTCCTCCAATGGATGCCCCTGGATCAATCTGAATTCGTTCAGGATACTTTTAGCCAATTACGCTGCCACCGCTATTCTGTCCCGTTCCAAAAGAGAGGAGTTTTGCCAACACACCACTTTAAGAGACCGTGTGGAAAACATCAGAAGGAGTAATGGGCTGTTTGTGTTGGCTCAAGGCAGGGCCAGGGAACTATGGCAAAGACCCATTGGTTTATTTTCAGATAAAATGGCTTTCTTTCGTTAGCAACCGCCACTTGGGGGTATGGCTTACGTAGAATGAATGAATGAATGAATCTTTATTTACGTCAGCCATAGCAATAAAACAACAATGCGATATACAAAGTATAGAAATAAAAAGTCAGTTATATAAAATACATTTTAGGGTTTTGAATCAATAGTCAAATAGTGGATCTTATTCTGATTGCCCCAGCTAAAAATCTTGATCTGCCAAGAGAAAGGACACTGTGGCAGTGGTTGGGCGACCCAGAATGATAATGAAAGAGGGGTGATAATCTCATTCCTCACACGCCACCAATTCGGTACTGCCATCTCCACAGGGACATAAGCGTTTTTCGTGTGGAATCCGTTGGAATCATCCCTCAAGTTCAGCCGAGGGCAATACACTCAATCTTGCAAGAGTAAAACCGTGTCTATATTTTAGAATTGCTAGGTTATGCAGATAGGGTGCCAGAGAGTCGAAATGCGAAGGTGGAAAATAGTCATACCATGGGCAAAAGTTTCTAATCGTGGCCAAGTCGTTCTGACGCTCAATATCGTTTCGGCGCTGACAAATTGGCTTACATAGAATGCGTGTCCAAAATGCCTCACCTTCCGTTTTCTGAATTTCTAGGGCTGTGAACGAAACCAAGCGGGCGATTGTTGAAGATAGCCAGCCGAAAGAGGAGGCAGAGGAGAATGTTACGGTACCACTGGCAGAAGAGATGGAAAGCAGCGCGGAAATCGTGGTGGACTTTTCCCACAAGAACGAAACTGCTGTCTGTATTGTTGTCGCTGCTGCTGCTGCTGATAAATCACTCCAAGAGGACGCAGAGGCCAAAAGCGAATGAGCACCTGGTGTGATTTCAAACAACCTACTTGAACAGTGATGGATGGGACGGGGTGGGGTGGGGACGGGGGGGCGAGGAAGAATCAAAGCTGCTTTTAGGACTGAATGATCTATTTTCAAAGCACTGGTACCTGTGTGTGTGCGCGTGCGTGTGTGCGTGTGTGTGTGTACATATATTAATTTTATTTAATTGAGGACTATGTGGCTCCAGTACCATCTCTGCAACTCTTCTGGATCTTGACAATGGGAAGTTTTTGTTCATTTGGACTTGAGAAGCAAACTCCCAAATATTCCTCGCGTTATGCCGCCGTGCTTTGCCCTGGAGACTTCGGATTGTTTCGAGGACGGAAGAAGCGTCACGAGGATGGAAGATGTAGAGGACAACTTTCCGGCGCACAAATGTGGGCGCCTTTTTTTCTAGTTTTAATAAACATATTATGCTTTTTCCAGACTGACTGACTTGCTTTAGAAGAAAGAAAGAAAGAAAGAAAGAAAGAAAGAAAGAAAGAAAGAAAGACTGCTTAAAACAGTCACCTGTTTCCTAGTACCTCAGAATTAACCAAGGGAAATAAAAAAAAAAAAATACAAATCTCTGCATTTGTCTGTACTACCTGTTGTCATTGTGGTTAAATGTAGAGAGAGAAAGCGAGAGAGAGAGAGACTGATGGGCAAGATGGTGAATGGAAGGGAAAAAACACAACCACAAAGTTTTAACAGAATGGAAAACAAAATTGTGCTCAAAATCCCTGTGGGGGTTTTATTTCTTAAAATACTGTGATTTTTTTAATTATTTTAGTATAAAAAAAATACAAAAGAGAGAGAGAGAGAGAGAGTTCCTAGATACCTGTCTGTGGCTTGTCATCTTTTATTCCAGGTAAGCTGTTAGCGTTCAGCTATTATTTCAAAGTCATGTGACTTGACTCTGTGCCGTTCTTGTTTTGCCCCATGTCTATGTCTGCTCAGCCTGAGGGATTGCAAATACAGCACAATTAAGGGTTTTTCTTTCCCCATGTAAAGTAATGTTATTCCCCCCCACCCTGCTCCACCCACCCAAGAGATGGCGTTGGGAAGGAATATTAGTTATTGTGAATAGAATTGTGTTTCTCCCCCCTTTTTTTTAATTTTTAACATGTGGAATTAGCAGAGAAGTAACGTTTTCTTTTTTAAAAAAAAAAAGACAGAAACAAACAAAAAAATAACCCCGTTAAACTAAAGAACCAAACTTACAGCACAGCTATGCAGGTTGTGGACCAATCAGACAGGTCCTCATAATCATTCTGTTGCTTGTCAAATTGAACATCTCTCACTGGTTATTATTTTGGTTATTAAGAACGGTTGCCTTTTTCCTTTTTTCCTTTTTTTTTTTTTGTATGTGACGTGTCTCGTTTTGGGGGGAGGAGGGGGGAGCTGATTGAAAAACACGTCATTTTGAAAGCTTGAGGTGACCAATTTCTGTGCTGTTGGGGGCCTGGAGATCTCTTGGTGGATTTCAAGGTGAGGGTCTATAAACTTAATGGTATCGCCTCCCGTTAGCTCTTCGCATGAGAAAAAAACAGCGTAGCGTAAATAGGAATTTGCACACGTGGAGATGGAGATTGTGTTCCTTATTCATGCAAAAAAAAGTCTTGTGTGAACGTGAGAACACAAGCTCGGGACCCACGGGTGATGGTCTGATTGTGAACAAATGGGTTTCTATCCAAAAAGTAGAAAGTACTTGACTGAAACCTAGTTTTAGAAATGCATGTGTCTCTTGGGTTGTTTTGGTTTCCTTTTCCTTTTTCATTTTTTGTTTGGCGCTTTTTTAAACCGGGGGGGTATGGGGTGGGGTTAGGGGGGTTGGGAGACAGGAAATTGCTGAGAAGTCAGTATCCAACAGAACTTCTCATCAAATTGATGGTGGAAAAAAGAAAAGAAAAGAATAATACTGTTGCATTTGTGGAATAAGTGCTACTCGAAAAGCATGGTGTTTTGATTTTGAGGATTTGTGGGGTGGGATTTTTATTTTTATTTTCTACTTTTTATTTGGAGGGAGGGAGAGTCATGTGGAAAACACATTGAAAGGACAAGTATAAATACACATTTTGTGTCTGAATGTTTTCTTTTTAATTGGCCTCATTTCAAATGTATTTAAACAGTTCCATACCTGGATTGGGTGTTTTGTAATGGTTACCAAAAATGAAAAAGATGAAAAAAAATAAATGATTGTGACATGCTTTTATCACTACTTTATTTTTCAAATAACATGTAAATATTGTAATCCATTGGATTTGTTTTGTTTTGTTTTTTGCTAACCTGTTAATAAATATATGGGACCATTATCCTTTTTAACAAGTCTAGAATGTCATATTTTTTTCTTGTGTCCCCCCCCCCTTCCCAAATGTATACCTTGATATATTGTGGACACACATTTTAGATGCATTATTATAATTCTGTTGGCTGTAATGATGACCTAGGATTGAGAATAACATTTTTTTTCCATTTGTTTAATTTATACAGAGGACTTTTTCAGAGTTTGACAGAAGGAAATAAATAGCGAAATGATAACCCACTGGCTTCAGAACTCAGTATTTCCTAATTACAATTAACTACTGCTCAGTGTTTGGTGGTACAAGGAGTGGAAGTTCTGAAATGTTGCACTGATAACTTTTTTTAAGGCAAAAGAAAACAAATAAAGACTTTTCAAAAGCGAGTGTATGTATGGTTCAATCTAAATTAACTTTAACACCCAAGTTACAGTTATTGGCAGTTAATTGCTGAAAACCTGTCCAAAGTAAAGGAAACTGTCACAAGATGGGCATGGGAAGGAATGCTTTGATCCAAGGCCAACCCATGACGTTTTGCCGCCTGAGGCAAAGGACAGGATACTCTCTCCCCCTGCCCATTCCACATATTGTAGGTGTCTAGGCTGATGGTTGAATGTTGCTTCATCTCTCGGACCTCAGGGTCACAGGTTACTCTAGGGGAATACTGCACTTCACGATCTTCCTGAGGTAGTTGCCTCACTTTGCCCTACGGTAGGGCCGTGCTTCCACCTTCTTCGCCAAA